TAGTAGTAGTAGTAGTAGTATGACTATTATTGTTATTGTTTTGTTTTGTTCTAGTAGTAGTAGTAGTAGTAGTAGTAGTAGCAGCAGCAGCAGCAGCAGCAGCAGCAGCAGCAGCAGCAGCAGCAGCAGTAACAGTAGTAGTAGTAGTAGTAGTAGTAGTAGTAGTTGTGGTGGTGGTAGTAGTAGTAGTAGTAGTAGTGGTAGTAGTAGTCGTCGTCGTGGTGGTAGTAGTAGTAGTAGTGGTGGTGGTTGTGGTGGTTGTGGTGGTAGCAGAAGAACCAGGGAGTAGCAGCACAGCATTTAGAGTTTGGCGATACGAAACTGGCTTTAGGGTTGCGTCCGATGCGATGCTGTGAGTCAACTGCGACTGGGGGCCCCGACCATGTGCAAACGCCAGATCCTGATGAAGAGTATGGGTTCAGAAAGCTTCGAGGGTTGTTGTCCCAAGCCCACCCAGACCCCTTCAGTCCCAAACCCCTTCATTCCCGAAGCAGCTGCAAAGACATACTACACGAAACCTCGAGGATGTGCTGGGCGGTCAGCGGCTTGGAGTCTTGGGGGGTTTTCCAGGCTACTTGGGGTATTGACTGCATTTCACCTGACAAGTACATGCTCAACGTGCTCACTTTGCTGAGTGGGCCTAACGCTCCGAAGATGGTGGCGTGCGGCGCTAGTAGTTTCTGAGGCCGCAAACAGGCTAGCCTTCTGGCAGTCCAGCAGTTGCGCTGATCAAGCAAAGAACCCAGTAGTCGTCCGACACGTACTGTGAGCATGAAGGCTCGAGTAGTCACCGCCGATCGTGATGCTGATGATGGGGATGCTGATGGTGCTTAAGAGCAAGATGGTGATAGTGATAATGATGATAATGTTCACCAGCATGATGGTGATGATGACGATGACAAGTATTTTGATGACGCCGATGACGCTGATAGTGACGATGGTGGTGGTGGTGGTGGTGGTGGGGAAGATTGAATGAATATGGCGATGGCTGTGGTAAAGATGATGAAGAGGAAGAGGAAGTTTTATGGACGTAGTGAAGATAAGCATGAACATCCAGACGAATAAAAATGATGATGACAATGACGAAAAACAGCGGCAATGGTTGTGATTATGGTAAGGCTGACAGCAGAGATGATTTGCGGCCAATAAAGATGCTAGTGACGGTGGTGAGGACCAGGACGATGCCACTGAACAGTGTGATGAGTCCGTGGTTATGACTGTGATCTCAGTTTATTCATAAACAGGACATAATGCAGATGATGATTAACATGGCGATGGTAATTCATGATGAAGGCGATGTTGGGGTGGAGGAGGCGCTCTTCTAAAGACTCTATAAATCGCAACCTCAAGTTCTCCATCCCCGGAACCAGTTTTCAGAGCCAAGGAGCCATTGCTTCAATTGCGCCGCCATGGACGGATGCAGGGAGCTCCTCGCTGGAAACTCTGGGTTCAGGGAAGGACATAATACTATGATGCGATATTATATAATCATGTTAATATTAAGTATTAGAGTTGTATATTATTAAATAATTAGTAACAGATAGTATTATACTATGATGATGACAGGGGCTAAGGTGACTAAGGATCACTCAAAGACTATTCTTACCCACAGGTGGGGCTGTTATGCCAGTCGTCCTGAACCAACCAGAACCTCAAACACCCGAACTGACGACCTTCCTAGACCTGTATCAACGCCACCAAATCACCCACTTGCAGCACAGGAGCTGCCTCCCCAAACTCCAGCCTTCAAGCCCCAAAACCCCATCAACTGCACACTGCGAACCGCCACCCAGCAAGAGAACAAACCTCAATCCATATAACCCGTGAGCCCTAGAATCTCCTAAACCCCTCAATGACTCAACGAAGGCAAATGACCCAAACCCTCCAAACCTCCAAATCCCCAAACCCTACGCTCCCCTCCCCGCTGACCCCTGCAACGCCCTAAGGCCTAAAGCTGCTGAAGTAACCCGAACATCCTAAGCCCTACACAAACCCTCAAATTCCACTAAACAAAACACGCCTCAACCCAAATCTAAAGCCAAGCTGCAGGGACCCCTGAGCACGCTGGTAGTTGTGACCTGAGCTGAGCCGCTTCTTGGGCTCTGTCATGGTTTAGGGCTTTTTAGCGAGAACGGGTTCAGGGCTTCTTGTAGGCTTTCTTGGGTTTATGAAGAGCTTATAGGGCTTACAAAGGTTTTGAATTATAAGGGCTTAGGGGGGGGTTCTGAAAGGGCTTCCGAAAGGCTCATTCGAAAGGCTCCCAGCGCGCCAACGGCAGTTCTGCAGGGGCTTGTAGAGGTGCCAAAGGGATCTTTTTGGCGGGCTTTCCTTACTTATGGGGTCGATTTCGAAGGTTCAGGGCTTTAGGGATGGGTCTAATGTAGAGGCCTTCTGGACAAGGGTTTTGGGCTCTTGCGTACCATAATTACAACAAGGAACCCCCAAAATAGTTTTGGTAACTTTTAGGCCCCTATAGTAGGTCAGTAGCTGCCATGGCATTGGAAACTTGGTCTCAGCACGAATCACCCTCCAATTTCCAACCTTTTCGGGTTTTCTGTTACTGTAATGCTGGTGGCTGTTGTACCACGTCTAGAATGTACGGGGATTTGGGGGATTTGTAGACTGAGCATGGGCGGGCGCCAACCTCAGCAACTCGGTTCCCGGGCTGTTGATGTAATTCCTGTGGGAGCTTTCGGTTAATCTATTGACTGGACATCCGGATAGCAAGCAAGGGGAGATTGGCCCATGGGTGCAGGTTCTGGGATCCAGGAAGGAACGACCCAGGATCTGAGATCTGCGGAGTGTGGGGTTTAAGGTGTAGGGGTCAGCGCTGGATGTTTGGAGGGTAAGGCTCGGGGCAAAAAGTCTAGGGTGCAGCATGGAGCGGTTCGAGTTTAATCCGTCACTCTTGCCAAGCTTCCCTTCACAGCTTCTCAGGTGAACTGCTAGTAACTAGTAACTGTAGAGGTCGAACGTTCTCGCAGGGTTTGGCGTGGTCCAGCTAGACAACTGGACCTGTTACAAACTGCACAAGGGGGATTCTAACAAAGCCCTGCGAGTAGCTGTTGTCTCTCTTGTCGTTCCTTTTTTGGTTGAACCGAGCACTTCTGTATCTAGGATCCCGAGAGGTAACTCCAACAAGGAGGAACTACAATGGAGACAAGTTGAATTGCCGTCCACCTCGAAAGGCTGCTCATCGACTTTCAGTGCCACTATAGAGGCCTTAATGATTAGAATAGGGTATATTGTACTAGAATTATAAATAAGTATACTAAGGAGCCCCCAAAATATGATAGATAATTATTCAGGCCTCTAGATCACAGCCTCAGAGCCCCAGACCTCGACTCCAAGCTGAAAGGTGCCCAACACCAGAGCTCTGAATCGACCCGAAACCCTGTGCCCTCGTGTAGCTGTGAGTCTTTCTTACGACGCATCCTGGTGTAGGCCGTCGTTTTAGAGAGCGACACCTGAGCTGCAAGAGAAAGGAGTCAAAGCTCCCTGCAAAAGACCAGATCTTCTGTGTTTGGATGCGGGATGAAACCAGGCATAGGTGCTGCAAGGTTCAGCTAAAGGGTCGGTCGACGGTAATCAGCTCAGAGAACCCAGGTCAGATGCTACTTGGAGGATCATGGGACTTAGTAAGAAAGGTTATAAGTCCCTTAGTTACCCTAATTATAACCCTACTTACTAAGTCCCATGATCCTTTAAGTAGGTGAAAGCAAGCAAAAGCTCGTACCTCGGGACAATGCTCGAAGACTTCGCTGCTAAGCCGGAACTGTGCGATGGAACCTTCCGTAGTACAATCGGAAGAATGCATATATACGTCTACTGCTTACGAAAGCTGCACCACGTAATGGAAACTCATGGTAACAGAGTTAACGGGTTACAGAAATACCAAACATGAGAACCACACACCTTTGTAGCTACTTTTGGTCACATGCCACGGGGCCGTGCAGTGCCACCACCCGCTCGGAATAAAGACGAGATCTCCTGCAGGTGAGTTTCTGATGTGAACAGAGCTCGCGAACGCAGGTTCAGAAGGGGGAGCTAAGGAATGGGCTCTATATTCGTGTAGAATAGGGGTTTGGGGCCCATTCTTCTGTACTAAATTATAAGGAACCCCCAATATAGCAGTGGTAAATATTTAGGCCCCGATGGCCCCCATATTGAGGCTTCACTCGCTGCCACACTCGCTGCACTGAGATTTCCCATGGCCCTACTTGCCCTTATGTGGGTAGTTTTCAAAATTAGGGTCCCTTTTAGGGTCCTTTTTATAGGGGTGCCGTACTATATTGGGGACCTATAAAGGGACCCTAATTTAGAGAACCACCCATGTACCCTCATGGCAAGGGTCGCCCTTCCATGGGCGGTGTCGCCCCCCCGGGTTTGGCTGTGTAGTCTCAAGGCATCTGAGAAACTCTAAAACCGTCAGCGATCACCAAAATCAAATTTAACTAACCCTAAACCCGATATACCATCATCTTTTGTGATCTTTACGGAGCTTCCTCAACTCGGACAGGATTAAGGCCGTACAGGATCAGCTTGAGCCTCAAGCCCAGTTTCGATGATTCCTCTTGAGGCTATGTGTCTCCGTTTTCCAGCAAGCAATGATGATGCACACCAAGGCAGCTGTGAAAGGTACGACGACACGTTGATGATGGTGATGATGGCTATTATATCAGTTAATGTGGTAGTCAGTAGTCATTACTGCTGTAGTCCTGGTCGCTGGACTGCCCACAGCAGCTTTTCTGCAGCTGGGCTCCTGCAGACTAAGAAGTTTCAGATTCTGTGTCCCGGCAAAACAAAGCATGGCCCCAAACTTCCAAAACTCAAGGACATGTTTCAATCATGCTTCGGCACATAGTCAGAATCCTGCATGCGCTAATGCCTCCCTAGATCCCACAAGCCCGAGCTCCCCGGAAGGCTCATCAGTAGCCCAGCCAAGGCTGGCGGTGCAGAGTAGTATCGCCGAACGGTCTGACGACGGCAGAGGATGCCGGGATGTGTCGACCGTGTTGAACTTGTATCTCTAGGATGCATGGGCCGCTAGCCGCTAGTCTTGCCTTCTGTTCCGGCTTCAGTTATGCCAGCACCGATGCCCTTGAATCTGTAGATCGAGCTGGTGGCGAATACTCGGAATTCGGTGTTTTCTCTATCTTGGCAGCTTGCTGGGTGCTTGGCTTTAACATCCCAGAAAAAGCCCCAAGCTGGTGTATGACCTCCCGAGCTCTCCAACTCAAAGCTTGTGAACAAAAACTTCCAGCGAGCCACAAGCACCGATCTCAAACCTGAGGCAACCTGGCCTAGACTTGCCAGATGGCTCTACCGCTTCCTCGTGAACTCTGCAAACGAAAGACGCAAGAAAAGAAGCGCAGAAATGGACAGCCAAATCTTCCCAACGCCTCGCCGGAAAGGCTCGATTCGAGCATCTGGGCCTGCAAGCCGGCGGCAAAGGTGAGGAAACCGTGGGGTGTCAAGGATTGTTTGTATTGAGGATACCGGGTCTGTGCTGTGAGCACGCAGGAGGGGAAGAACAGAGCTCAGAGCGTTCTTCACGTGGGAACATGAATTTTCGACTGACTTGAGGTGTGGCGGTCACGAAGAGTGCTTACTTATGCAAGCCCATGCAGGGCCCTGTTGAAGATTGATCTTGCTGCCTGACATCGAGGCATTTGGGTAGTAGGTTTCATGTTAGCGGTCTCCAATGCGGGGAAAACACACGACCTGCTTGTACAGTCAAATGTAAAGTCATCGCTGTTCTACATCAGGATGCTTCTCGGTGTCTCCAGTATACTACATGTATCTGGTGTATCGTGTTTAGTGGTACCCGAGTGGTGTATTCATCTGCATTGGGGGATTGGTACCCGAGCGATTTATTCATAACCAAAGGGCTTATTGTTCAGATCAGCCCCAAAACTCGACAGGAGTGAGCCTCCACCTGCGGCGGAGCCCCGGTAGGAGGAGCCATTGCCCACAGCTTCTCACCCTCGAAGAGCAAGTTCCTCATAGGAGAGAACACAAAGGCCTTGAGGTTTTAGCTTTTCTTGTCCATGTATGTCCGCAGGTGTCAATCTGGGCAGTTCTCTACACTCTACATTCTGGGGTCCCGGCTGCCCTTCAAAACCGTAGAGTAGGCCTTAACCTCCTTCAACGCAGCCGCGGAACCAAGCGGCTGTTCCCCATGGATCAAAGTGCCAGCGGGAGCCGCTCCTCTCCATGAGCATCACTCAAACAGGATGCAGAGAAGTCCGTGGGAGAAAGGGGTTTGGGTTTAGATGGTAGGGTTTGGGGATGTAGGTTTAGGCGGCTTAGGGTTGAGAACTGAGATCATATGTAGATAAAATACACAAGCATGCACGTACAGGCATACATAGGAGGCTGGGCTGCTACGCCTGTCCTGACGCAATTTCGCGACGCAACTTCTTGATGATGAAAAATTTGGAGTCATGGTACCACAATTAATGTAGGGGCCGTAATTATAATAAGGAACCCCCGCTGTTTTTGTAGGTAATTATTGAGGCCCCATGAGGCTCCTATATTGAATTGTGCTGACAAGCTACGTCTTGAGAAGGGAGAGCTTGGGTCCCAAACCCCTTGGGCATCAGAAGCCCTAGAACCGTGGTAGAGGGATACTAGGGTTTAAGGCGAAGCCCTGAAACCATGAAGCCCAGGTCCGGGTGAATCCGACAAATCTGTTCACTATGAAGACTCCCTGCACGATGGCCGTGGCCTTTCAGGGCCAACCAAGAGCCAACCGTCAAGCCCGACGAAGCCCTGGCAGACTGCAGCTTGCATGGAGGCGCGCACAAGGAAAACCGTCAGCGGCAAATTGGTAAGAACAGAAACGAGCGACTCATGAAAGAGTAGCTGAACAAGGGGTACGAAGAACAAGAGCAACGGCGATGAACGCGAGCTGCTCTTACCGAAGCCAAATCGTCGCAGACCAGCCTCTGGTGGCTCCCTTGCGTCCAGCAGAAAATCCTGCCCGGAAGCGCGAGCTCTTAGAGTCGCCAAAGCTCGCGAGCACATTGAGGCTCATTAAGTTCCGGCTTCGGGCTGGCAAAACAAAGAGTCTCTAGTGTTGGGGGCTTGACCCGAGAGAGCGAAACTGCTATGGTTTAAAATCTGAGTGGGCCGAGCTAGGTGATACTTCGCTATGGGTGTCATGTCATTCCGTGTTGCTTCGATCCCTTCACTAGTTTTTTCCACTGCGTCTCTGCATCGAACTATGCCCTGTATAAGTCGACTCTGAGACTCAAAGCTGCGCAGCACGTGGCAGAGGCGGGCTCCAACCCTTGGCTCCAAGCCGAATTCTGCCTCAACTCGAAATCCCAAAGTCTCGAGCCGAAAAGACACCCAGCCAAAAAGAACTCAAGAGGGAGCGTCTCCTCCGCAAAGATATTCGGGGCTCGGAAATCTTTGTCCACAGCCTCCGGTTTCAGCTTCCGTGCCTTCGCTCTCGGTTTTAGCCTTTGGGACTTGCCCGAAAAAAAAGATGGGTGACGCTGAGGGCATGATTCATTCAGGGTTCGGACGATCTGTTGGAGTGTTGTGGTGGGATAGCCTTGCCTTGAATACTCTCTCGCTGGAGAAACCAAGGAAAGACCGAAGGCTCAGGCATGTCACGAGATCCAGATCAGATCGAAGTCCTGGGCCCGGCTGCGCAGAATTCTGAACCTCTAAATTCCCTAAACCCCCAAAGCCCCACAGGCTGGAACCTTGCAATTTGTATCCTAGTTACCCCTACCCGCTAAGCCCTAAAACCCTAAACTCCTAAATCCCAAAGCCCCAAACCCCAAATCCCAAACTTCCTAAACCCTGAAGCCCAAAACCCTCAATCCTAGACTCCCTAATCCCTAAACCCTAAACCCTAAATGCCAAAGCCAATAACCAGAACCCCTGAAAACCAAACGGAAATCTGATGCTCGAGAGCCTCGCGGATATCAGAGTCGAACTCCTGGAAGAGGTAGAGAGGCTCAGCGTCCTGGCTTAGGTGTTTCGGGCTGAGGGGTTTTAGGGTGTGTGTGTGTGTGTAAATAATATATATATATATATATACATACACTTATATATATATATATATATGTGTGTGTGTGTATGTATGTACATATAAATAGACTAGACTAGAATGGAACAGAATTGAAAAGAGAAGAGGAGAAAAGATAATGGAGTAGAATAGAAAGGCCCACAATAGAATAGAATATAATGGGAAAGACAAGAACAGAAACTCACAGACCAGAAAGAACAGAGTAGAGTTAGAACAGCATATAGCGGAACACCAACTACGCACACACACACACATGTGTTTGCATGTGTAGACTGTCTACACACACATATATACATATACACACATACATACACATGTACACACATACATACATACATACATACATGCATGCATGCATACATACATACATACATACATACATACATACGTACATCCACATGCTATTCAGGTGTAGACTGCTCGGGTTTAAGCTTTTCTTTTGAACAATCGCTTTCCGTCAGCGAGAATCAGAAGTGTTTCGGGTTAGTGCTTATGGGCTTCGGGTGTAAGACTGAGGTGTGAAGGTTTTGGGTTTCAGGCTGCAGGTTTGGACTGTCGGTTTCAGGGTGTATAGGGGTCGGTCCACGATGGCTCTTTCTTCGGGTTTTGCAGTCGCGGTGCAGCGACCGACTCAGGAACCCCTCTCCTAGAAATGGGTGGGGGCCTACAGCTCGAAGGAGGCCCGAGACGAAGTAACCTTTGAGCATTTTTTGGGCTTTAGAGCTACAGAGCGAACAGAAGTCAATGATTCGGGTCCGATACTTTCGCTGGCTGATTCCGAGAAGCGGCTGTAACTGATCTGAAAGCAAACACGAACGATCCAAGGACGCCAGCGACTTATTGAGCAAGGTACAACGTCCCCGATCCCAGAACAGCCTCTTGGGCGTCCATGTACCTCAAATACTCGTCGAAGGGAAGTCGAATGACGGAGAGCTTTGTCCTTCGGTCGCCCGACCATTCGCTTCAGGACAAATTCACGATGCTTAGTTACCCATAGGCCCCAAAGTAGTTCCTTTTTGGATTACCTTATAGGATTCTATATATGAACCCCAAAAGGAACTACTTTAGGGCCTATGGGTAGGGTGGTTGCAGTCGGGCTCCAGGTGTGAGGTCTTATACGGTGACGGCTCAAAGCGCAGTCATGCTGTGCATGGAAGTCGTGCTCCACGCTGGGCGGGGCTGTGTGGTGCTTAGAGGCGTCAGGTATTAGTTCAGGATGCGGGCTCCTCATTTCTGCATTGGTCCATCTTCGAGTTTCCATAGAGGAAGGACGACAAATAGCCGGCTGCGGAAATTCCGCAGTGCATGAATCACACGGCAATGGGATTTCAGGCTGTGTAGTTCTATCCTCATCATCGCTCTGCTGCAGGTAGACCGGCTACCTCCTCCCAGGCCCTTGCACCCTTATGGATGTTGTGCTGCTAGGTTTCGAGTCTGGTTTGCTTCGGTTTTCGGGCAATGTGCGCGAGCTTCCCCTAAGCCCAAACCCAAGGACTGTCCGACCCGACGTCAATGCCAGCGCATCATCCTGGAGGTGGCAGCGGCACCTGTGATTTAGGGCTTGATGCTTCATTTCAATAGGGTCTGGGTCTATCCTGAATATAAATATAAATATATATTCATATGCAGATTAACAAGGGCCATAAGAAGAATCTGTTACTAATTATGGGGTGAGGAAAAGAAGAGGAAGAAAAGACAAGAACAAGAAACATCACCACCGTGCCACGGAGACGGTCGTCGCACTGAAGCCTTGAGGAAGCCGACCCCCGAGCACCAACTCAGGGGCCCTCATGATTAGAATAGGGTCTTCGGGTACATTATACTAAAGTTCTATTACTGTAAAGGGGCCTTAATGACGAGAAGAGGGTCTTGAAGAAACTGAACCCCAACACGAATCTTAACTCACGACCCTAAACCCTCAAATCACAGGCTGCTGCTAAACCTGTAATGTAAAACAAGAAACTTGCGGGAACCCTAACATCAATCTTTTCAGAAGAATAAAGGCCTTTATAAGTTGCTGCAAACAACGACAAAAACAAAAAAAGACTATAACATCAATCACGCTTGAAACCCTTGTTTAAACAAGGCCAATGCATCGTATTGGTACCTCGCCTCATCATGTGTACTGTATTGCCATCTGCGAAACGCGGGCCCGTATTTTTGTTTTCTGTCAAACAAACTGTATGGTATCACAACAGCCCTCCTGGGCTCTCAAGCGGTCGCGCTGCTAACGCCGGACCAAGGCTGGCGAGCTGCCTGGTCCAAGGGTGGCGGGCTAGGGGGCTTTCAAAACTGACGGTTTCGGGCTTGGGGCTTGTGGCGCTGGGTTCGGGGCCTCTTAGGGTTCATTATTAAGGCTTTAAGTCACTGGGGCGGGGTGGGATCTATTGAGATTTGTTTTATATAGGGGCCTTCTGGTCGAGCTTGAGGTTTGTACAATTTACGGCTTGGGGTTTCCCAAAATAAGGGTTCCGAGACTTTGGCTTGGGGCTTTGGGTTGAAAGTCCGTTTTGCTAAGGGGTTGTTTGGCTTCTAGTATCTTTTACGCTTGGTTGTCTAGCCCTTGATCATAAAGGGCTGTTAATAGTTGGGTGTTATTAGGTCCTGACAAGGCTTGAAACCTCAGGGCTTGACATGTCGCGCACTGATCAACCGCGACATAAGCAGACCGTTGATCCTTTACGCACCATATTCAACTTCAGCTACACAGGCCTTGCCCGCAAAGCATCTGCACAACAAGTCCGTTCAAGCCACCTGGACATGCTTCTAATCACCAATCCCCGAAACCCCAAACCCTTTTCACTCTACATACCTACAAAGTCTACCGTACAATAGAAGACAGTCGTAGCACCATATTTATAATAAACAATGAAGTACCATGTAATAACTGCTATGATATTTCGATATAGTACCATATTATGAGGCATGAAAGATGGGTGGTGCGCACCAGGCCGTCTCTCCGCGAGGCGAAGCCAGGCTGGCTGACCCCTGTGCTTGGATTCAGGCCGTCGCTGGCTTAAAGTATAGTAGGATCCTTAATATGATTTAAGGTATATACCTTAATTAAGGGGTATTGGGATTGGCGTTCATAGGCTTTCATATTTAGTTGAGGCTTTAGGAGTCAGGGCCTTCGGGATAGCAGGGAGGAGTCGACTTAATCTTTCACGTTGCATGGTGTGATGTGTCGAGTGCTTGTGTTCAGTAGTTGATTACGTTAGGGACTCGGAGAGCTGGTCTTCTGGCTGCAGAGGTCTTGGTCTCCACTTCTTTGTCTTTGTGTGACTTGACTTAAATGGTGTGGAGCTTGTCGAAAATGAAAATCAGGGACAGTAGAATGATAATGCTGTTGGATGGCTGTTGCTTCCGTGCAGCTGTCTGATGACCGTCGGCATTTGGGGCTGTCAAATTCTCGCAACATATTCGAGGCCTTACCGATTGACATCAGCATCCATTCGGATGTGGAGGCTTTGTTGGACTTCGCTAGTTGAGGGCAAGCAGGTCGTGGAGAGACACCGCGAAAAGCACGCTCCTCGACCTGTCATCGCGACATTCCCGCAAAACCAAGATACAATTACGTTAGAGAAGGGAGCGCTGCACCTTTCTCCACCGCTGCTCACAAGACAGCTCGTTTTTCAGGCCCCTGTGAAGCGATCGAAGCGATACATAAATAACCAACAAATCGGGCTTTATCTTAGTATCGTCGTCAGGTCGCGGCCTTAGACACACCATACAGCACAAAACATAAATAACCAAAAAACCAAAAGGCACACACCAACAAATATCGCACATGTTTGAAGCTCATCCCGATCGCGATATACATATTCAGACACACACTGCGGGCTCTCAGCCCGCAGCTTCTCATACTTTTGCCTTTGTTCCTCCAGCTGCCGGTCAACGTTCTGCTTCGTTTGCTTCAGCTCTGTCTGAAGACTCTGCGAGCGTCGCCTCTCTTGCTCCAGCTGCGCCGCTGTTTCCTTCGCAGCTTCAGCGCGCTGCTTGTACTTCGTCAGCCGGCTGCGGAGGCTTTCGTTGCGCTTCCTCGTCTTCTCTGCAGCATCTTCCAATGAAGCATGCCCTTCTTCGTGTTTTGCCGCTATGAAGTTGTCACGCTCCACCAAAATTCGCTGCCTGCACTGGTCCTCGGAATCAACATCTGTGACTTTCCACAGCTTCACGCGAAGTCCGTCTCCGTCAGTTTCATCACGACGGCGAAGGGGCAACATCCATGACCGCAACTGCCTGCCCTGTGCCTCATCAACAAAAAGATCGTACTGATCATCCAGCAAGGTAGAATCGTTGTGAATCTCCGCATGCTGCTTGGCCAGCGGTGGCATGTAGTCGGTGTTTCCCTTCTTCCTCCGGAGCTGGCGAGACGACCTCTGCACTCTGCTGTTGGCACTCTCATAGAGGCTGAAGAGTGTGTGAGGCACATTCGCGCAGATGATGTCAGACAAGGCCTTGGCAAGATGCCCGTGGTTGTCGGTGCTGCCAGAAGAGTCTCCAGACAGGAGTAGACCACGGCTTGCGGCAGGGAGTGTCGGCTTCTCCACTGATCGACGGTCACGGATGACGCTGGCTCCTGAGCCTTCCCGACAGATGTCGCAAAAGAAAACAACTGAAGCCTTGCGGATCGGATCATCTTCTGAAGAGCTAGGCAGAAGCTCGTCCAATCTTTCGTGCAGGCGGGCTAGGATTTCATCCAAGTAGATCAGTGGCTGCATGGGGTCATTGAGGAGCAACGCCAGCCGTGAGTTTGTTTCAATGCCATGGCCAGCAAAGAACATAACTGCTGCATTACAGTCGTGGTCCAAACTTTGCAAAAACTCGGTGAATGCCTCTTCGAACTCGTGGAAAGAGGTGTTCCTCAGAAGCCGATCGCAACCTGCTGGAGGAGCAATCCGAGAAGGTAGAATGCGATCACCCAGTTGTCCATGCTGAGCAATGGAGCTGCGACAAGGCAAAAAGCACTTTGAAGCTTCGGCCAGCACTCGGGGATGCGTCGCCGAGTACATCGTGAATAACAACAAAAGCATGGACCCCTCGCGTATCTGACTCATGCCCCAGAATGAGCAGAGCAATGGCAGAGCAACATGTATGCGAAGCATATCTGCAACCACCAGAACTCTCGGCGTTCTGGCGAATCGAAATAGTTTCCCATCATGCCACAGCCGGCCCCCTAGAAACTAAAGGTGGGTGGCTGCTTGGATTTGGGCCTGCCGGCTTCCTCCTTTGCCCATACAACCATGCCGTCAAGTTGCCTTCCTGGCCATTCACTGTCAAGACATGCAGCGAAGCCACACTGATTACCTGCTCCAACGATTACAAAATGCAGGACTCCTCGGCATCGTCCCCGCCAAATGACGCTATTTCACCAAATTAACTTGGCCACTGGCTTGCTCGGTCCTTCTTCGACTGTGCTTGGTGGGCGTTCCGCCTACAAGTAGGACCTAGCTTCTTATACCTGGTCCTTGAACCTCAACGACAGAGAGTCGACCTACACCCCGACCACAAAAATCAAAATTGAACGCCTGACTCTTCACCAACCTCCCTTGATACAACTCCAAAGCGACTTCTGCAAAACACCCTTTGCCCTAGCGTCTGTTACAGAGCCTAGACATTGACATCCATTTTCCTTTCATGGCAACATCCCAAATGCAATTGGCGATGGATGGCAATGAGAGCTGAGAAAGCACGGTCAACCTATAACCCCCTAATTACAGTTCGGGCCCTGTAGTAGTCGCAAGCTGAAGCCAGCTCTCAGCAAAGCCACCTCCACAACCACGGGGGTGCCCGGCAGTGCCTCAGAATCTCAGCACAATCCTTTTAACGCTGGCTTCTACAAGGATTCTACTGGAACGCGTCGGAGGTTTCAGAAAACTTAATACTGATTCAAAAATCCTACTACTACTGAAACCCCCTTGTTTGGGCTTGCTGCGGAGGCTTCTAAAAAAAGCCGAGGACAAGAGTCCAAGAGACAAAGCCCCAAGCAGCGTGAGCGCAAACAGACGCAAGCCTAAAGTAGGGGCCTAATCATCAATACCAGTTGCGGGGGCTCTCTGAGACAATTACAGTGCCAAAAACCCCAAAACCCTATTACCGATTAAGCCCTCTAGATAATTAGAATAGGGTTTTGGGGTACATTGTGTTATAAGCAAAGTAATTAAGAAGGAACCCTCTGGGATAACACCAAATCCCAGCAATAAACCCTCGATAAGCGCCCCATCCAAAACGTAAAGCCATCCTGAACCACGATCTTTTTGGCCTCATGCATACTGAACCGTGGGACATTGTGTTTCCATCCATCGACACAGGAAGGAAACAACCCTCAACCCTAAAGCTACATAGCCTTGGAGTCCCAAGCCCAACTAAAGACCCTCAGCCAACCCTAAACCCTAAACCCTATACTCCCACACCCTCTAGTCCGAAGCCCAAATAAAGTCCCTAAACCCTAAACCCTAAGCCCTCCTTCATAAACCCCGATAGACCCTAAAAGGCCCTAAACCACTGGAAGAGGGCCGTGAGACCTCAAAGAGCCGGCGGAAGTCTGCCGTTGTCAACTCGGCGGCGGCCCTTCCAAAGGAGGATTGTTTAGGCTTTATAGAGTTTTGGGTTGTGGGTTTTTTTTGGGGGCGGGTTTTGGTAAGGCCCAAGTAGCAGGCAGAAGCTGCTCAGCTTAAGCAGTTGTTGATGAGAGAAAGGAGGAAAAAGAACAACCGGACTTCTGGTTTGAGGCCGGGGTCTGGGAGTGAGTTCAGCTAGCGGGCTTGGGAAGCCTTGAGGTTGTTGGCTGCAGGGCTTCACGGGGCATTTATGGGCAAGTTTCCAGAGCATTCTATAGTCTATTGGTTCTGGAAGGTTGTTTGGAATGAGGCTTTGCAAGGCGTGCTGCATCCTTCTAAGATTCTGCATACTAAAAATTGTTTGGGGAACTCTGACGGGAACTCATGTGATTCACATCCGCCTGGATTCTTAGGGTCGTGTACCACGCTCGGAAACCGAGATAGCTTCAAGGATCCTCAGCATCTACAGCTGCTCTAAGACAAGGAATCTGCATTATGGCTTGTGTCGGTAACCGGCATACAGGTACCCATGACCCTCTATAGGTAGGTAGCAGGCCACACCCAGCGGGCCTTCGTGCCACCATCTCAGAGATGCGCCCACTTTGCAGCTTCGCCTTTTGCGAACAAGGATTGGAGCAGCTTGTGCTGAGGCAGTCGACTCACTCCACACTTAAGGGATGCGGTACACAAGCAGCATGATCCACATGCATGAGCACCCATCTAGCTGTCCCACTGTGTCTCCATCTGTCTATGTGTCCATCGATCTAGCCATCTATCTGTCCAGCTACCTAGCTAGCTTTCTAGCCATCAGCTTGTTATCCATCCATCAGTGCCCTACGGTAGCGAGCAGAGTGCACCAGTGACTAACTCCCAGTCGTTCTTTGTGGGTAAGCTTCATTCAGGATCGTAGATTGTAAATGTCAACATTCTTGCAGCCAGTCGCCGCAACATCCCGCAGCGTCGCTAGAGAGCAAGTTTTCGCAGGCCGGCGTGAAGGCGGCATGGGTCCTGAAGGACAGCTGCAATAGACGGATTCCTGGATCTTCGAAGAAAAGCGCTGTATTTGTTGACGCAGCAGGAAGGAGAGGTGTAGAAGGGATATAATATTGTTGACAAGGACCCGAAATGCCGAAACACGAGATCTACATGCTAAACTACTTCGAAATAGTGGGGCTCCCCCAAAAGTATGCACCCAACAAAGATCCTGTAAAACTCTCTTGAGACAACCCGAAAGACGTTCGAAGCCCTAAACCTTCTCTGCCCCCAAAAACGTCTATAGCTGCTAGCTTCCAGTGCTCAAGATCCAATGAAGCACCCGAGCCGGCTTCAATGCCTAGAGGACTTTGTCCCGAAATACGGGCTTCGGGGTGTTTTGTCGTGGTTTTTTATGACAAGGAAGCTTGACAGTCGTTCAAAACTGTCTGGTATGGCTGGCCACTACGACAGAGGAGCATTCCGTGTGGGATCCAGCAGAACGAAGTTGACGGATGCCAAGCTTTTTGCAGTTGCTCTGGACCGGCAGAAAATGAGGTTCCGAAGGAGGCCGGTGTCGCGTTGGACAAATGTCGGCTTCTTGCAGGTCGTTTTGCGGTTTTGGGTTGATTTGGGCTTGCCGGTTCTCGGAACCCCCTATGCACTGCCCATCTTACCTGAAGCTTGATGGCAGCCCATACCCCCTTGGTCTTGCATCCTGAACCCGAATTTAGCTTCCACCCTTCCGCCGAGAACTTGCGAATCTCCCCTGTTTTAAGCTGCCTTGACAAGCAAGAGCCTAAACCCTAAACCCGGGGCCTCCAGAAGAACCCAGCAGTGAGAGGGCAGTCCCTGCCCAGCTTCCGGCGAAGCTTGCCAGCAATGGATCCTGTCCGTGATGCCTTAACCTCGAACCGACACCTCGAAGCCGTAAACTGAAAACCCCAAAAGCTCTAAACCCACGCGATCCTATCTAGGACTGGAAGTCTACTTGCTCCGGGCAGCTACGTGGCCGAGGCCGCAAAGAAGTAAAGGCAAACCGGGAAGTTTGAAGCTAGCAGCATCAGCACAGGCCCCCACCACAAAAAGTTACTTCCCTTCGCCACTCCAACCTAATCTTGTGTTTTCAGATATATCCATGAATCATAAACAGTAGTCCTAAACATTGACACGGAGCTGCGCTTCTAACGGCGCGACCTTGCTATGGACCATGCTACCCTTCGAAGTCCCGAAGCCTGCTTCCAAATGCTTCTAGCATATAGCTCTAGGGACGACCATGATGGGGTTTAGGATGCTAGCGGATGTGTTTAGGGCTTAATTAGGATGCCTAGGTTGTAGGATTCAGGGAGAAGGTCTTGAGGGCTTTAGGATGTAGACCTTTCGGGCTCACGGATTGTCGGCCTTGAGCCAGAACTCTCTATTGCTCCGTGCCTCGCCTTCCGCTCTTCACCCGACACTCAGTGCCTGCATGGGGGGGGGTGGCCTAAACCTTAAACACTAGACCCTAAACCTTACTTTGTGGTATGTACGTGCGTGGGATCCCGTGGAGCCACAGACACACCCATCAGCGGAAGGATTCCACACGCCAAACCCCGAACCAGACAGAGAAAACGCTCCTCTTCTGAGCCTTGCCGCTCCTCCCAAGATAGCAAAGCTCAGGTCTTTCACGAGTGAGCGCTCAGTTTCAAGACAAAGCCGCATTTAATTTTGGTGTAGGTCCTGCCTTTAGTACAGTTGTTGCGGTTGCTAGTGTCTGGAGCCGGTAGTTGTAAAGATTACTATAGCTAACTTGAAGTTACGTTTCCAGTAAACTTTCAGTCCTGCAGGAGCCCGACGCAGAAGGCCCGCCATGCTGCCTTTCAATGAGGGTCACGCGGAATATATACTGAATCTATTGTGGCACTCCTGCATGGTGTTGCTTCTGTCAGCCTTACGGCTTGTCATCATGACTCGTCGGGTCGTCGTAGTTGTAACAGTCAGGCTTCTGCATGTGCGTCACACTGCCATCGCATAGAATCGTCGCTCGATTTCGTTAATGTTGCTGCGCTTGACTCTTACTGCTGATGCTGGCGGTAACGGCAAACATGAGGCCTCAGAGTCTCGCTCTTATGTTGGATGACACCATGGTTACCATGATGCTCGTGCAGACTATGCTATTTGATGCCCAAGACTAGGATGACTGCTGGATCATGTCGTTTCAGCCGTAAACGCCGTGATTCTCAGGTTGCTTTGGCAAGTCAAAGCTTCGAGCCCCATGCCAAGAAGGCATTCCTATCATCCGAATCCTGCCTCCGCAACACAAGACGATGCTGTTTCTGTGAGACTCCTTGATCTGGGGAGCCCTTCTGTGCACGTAATCGAACATGAATCCACGTATCGAGTGAATGCTTGGAGATGCCGTTTCAACCTGTTTGGGGATTTTGGTGCGTGCTTGTCGTGGGTCTGGAGCACTCCAGGTCGATGCCAATGACTTGGAGGCTTAATGGTCGCTGTAGAGCTCAAGCCCATGGGCATAAGAAAGCGGTGAGTGGACGCTCCCCTGAAAGAAGCCCCTTGAAACCCTAAAGCCTACAGCAAGCCCTAAACCCTAAACGCCTAGACGGAAGCCCAGCTTCAACTGCTTGCCTCGTCACCAAGGGACCGTGCAGCTGCGTGAGACACCTGCGCCAAAGCCTGAAGGTCACCAAAGCACGTGGCTCTGGTTTCATTTATCATACAGCCTCTATACGAGGTGGGCCAGGGTGGATTATTGCGGTTTAGGGTTTGGGCGTTTAGGGCTTCCTATGTGGCTTCAGGGCTTTTCGGGTGTTAGGGTGGTTTACGTTTACGCTTAGCGCGCCTCGAAGCTCCAATACCCAGACGGCGGCTTCTACCATACTATATGGTTTTATACAGGACTTCTAGTGGAGGCTGCGAAGGGAGAAACCTACAACCTTCATGGTTGATTATATATCTACAGTCAAGTTACGAGTGTCTGGCCGCAACAAGTCTTATGAGTTCTGAACGTTGCTGAAACGATTTCCAGGTGCACAAGCAAAACTCCGGGCTCAAAGCTACGAAGGGGCAGCTTGCTGCCAACGGGTTTTGCTGGGGCCCTCTAGAAAGAGAAAAGGAACACAAACACCTGTCCCGAAAATATCCCTTCCCCCCAAAATCCCAAGCCCCAAATCCCTAAACCCCCCAAAGCCCTACAGACCCGAAACTCTACAATGCCTGATTATACGTAATCCCTCACATAATACCCCTGTATCCCTAAACCCTAATCCCTAATCTCCCTTTCTGACCCCAAAACCCTAAAATCCTAAAGCCAAAAAATCCTAAAATCCTAAAACCCTAAAAACCCTAAAATCCTAAAACTCCTAAAACCCTAAAACCCTAAAAACCCAAAACCCAAAAAATCCTGAAACCCAAGAAAATCCTAAAACCCCCAAAATCCTAAAACCCTAAAATCCTACAACATCTTTTAAAAACCTAAAACCCTAAAATCCTAAAACATCCTAAAATCCTGAAACCCTAAAACCCTAAAAAATCCTAAAGCCCTGAAAACCCTGAAACCCCAAAAAATCCTAAAACCCTAAAACCCTAAAATCCTAAAAAATCCTAAAACCCTAAAACCCTAAAGCCCAAACAAACCCAAAAACCCAAACAAAAATCCCAAAATCTTAAAACCCTAAAATCCTAAAACCCTAAAAAAGACCCAAAACCCTTATAACATCCTAAAGCCCCAATGAAGGTCCCTAGGCCCCCAGGGCCTGGCAGCTTCTCGCCCCGGCGGCCGCGGCCACGCGCAGGCCGACCTCCTCCCCGAGGAGGCCCAGGAAGCTGGTCCCTGGCCTTAAAAGCTCGGTTTTTAGGGTGTTTTAAGAGGGTTTTAGTTTTTTGTAGGGGTTTTTAGATGGGTTTTTAACGGTGGTTTTGAGTTTTTTTTAAGGGTTTTAGGGAGTTTTTTAGGGTGGTTTAGGGTTAAGGGTTTTTTTTTTAATAAGGTTTTTGTTAGTGGCCCGTGGGGTTTAGGGTTTAGGGCTTTCAGGGTTTAGGCGTTTAGGGCTTGTGGGGTTTATGGTTGTGGGGTTTAGGGGGTTTAGGGTTTGTGGGGTTCGGGGTTTAGGGTTTATAGGCTTTCGAGTTTGGGGATTGGGGGGTTCTAGGCATCGCTTGCTTCAACACCACGTTCCAGCACTCTTTTGCTTGCAAGGGGTCCAGGATATTGTTAGTGTCACAAGGGGTATAACATCTTAAAACAGCCTCTAAAGTTCTGTCTCAAGAAGAAGGATTCTGAGGTTGTTTCTCCTGTTGTGCCCTGGTCGGGGTCCGGGCGGATTTTCATAGATGTAGAAGGCAGAGGTTCAGGGGCCCATCGCCGGCATGCTCCGGGGTGGGGATTTCAACCTGAATGAGGGTTCATGTTCTGTTGAGACGAACCGCAATGAGAGCGACAGGTGGGATGAAGCTGAGAACCATCATCAGGGCAGTCATCATAAGAGCACTGAGAAGAAACCAACTCTCAGTCCTGAACGATAACACGAAACAGACTTTCCCTAAACCCTAAACCCTAAACCCTAAACTCTAAACCCTAAACCCTAAACCGATCATGAAGATGAACCGAAGCACATGGCGTCTGCACGCCAGGCCGTGCCGGTGTCCACGTCGGAGCTCATCAACGACCTCGGAGCCGAGGCACGCAAAAAGTGCTGTAGGGGGGTCTGTCTGAATAACTACACCTATACTAGTTTGTGCGGAGTATGTCGCCAATTTCCGAGCCTATACGCCCTCTTCATGGACCTTTTCTATCACGGCCGTTCCCACACTGGGCCAGATTGAGCGTATAATACATATACCCTGCAACGCGGTAAGGCAGCCGGCAGTGACGGCATAACCGGCGAGTTGCTTAGAACAGCGGCCGTTCAGACGTCTCGGCAGCTCCTACCTATCTTGCTTAAGGCCTCGTTGCAGGCCAGAGAGCCTGTAACCTTTCGTGGAGGCGATCTCATCCTCCTAGCCAAGCGTGCTGCTAGCGTTCTTACTTGTGACAACTATAGATCAATTTTGATCTCGTCCGTCCCAGCAAAGGTCTACCACTGATGCCTTCGGGAACAGCTACAGCCCGACTTCAAAGCCCACAGGACGCCCTTTCAGGGCGGAGTGCTCCCCGGCCAAGGTATCGAGTTTGTTGCATTGACGGCAAAAACTTTCTTTCGCTTGAGTAATGCCGCTCCAAAAGAAAGCGGCCGTCATCTTCTTCGATCTCCGCGCAGCCTTTTACCAGGTTTTGAGGCAGCTGCTTGTCAACACCGGCGATAGTGAGGCAGCACCTTTTTGGCCGCTTACAGATCCCCCCTGAAGCAGTCCACGAATTGCGCGAGCATTTGAGTCATGCCACCGAGCTGGAACAGGCAGGCACGAACAGTCACACGAGGGCTTTGATAGCCGATCTGCTCAGGGGTAGTTGGTTAAGGCTTACGGGCAGTAGCCTTATTACCATCATCGCACGGGGCACACGCCCTGGCGACCCCGCCGCGGACATCCTGTTCGCTTTCACTCTCACAGCTTTTGTTCGTCGGACCTTGAATGTGCTCAGCAGCGCGGGCCTATGTGCCGACATCCCCTTTTGCGCTACAAGGCATCACTCGGTTGCGCATGAGGGTCCTGTTGGTCTGGATTGCCCCTCCTGGGCCGATGATTTCTTCTTTCCGCAGACTGCCTCCACGGAGTTCGAGCTCATCCAGCGCATCAGGGACAGTGTCGCCTGCCTAGCAGGACAAGCTACGAGCCTTGGTATGACGGTCAAGTATGGACCGGATAAAACCGCCGTTCTGCTTCCTGCCACGATCCGTCCATGCTCCAGCCTTTTGGACCAGGATGACAAAGGCAGCCCGGGGATCTCCTTTGTTGATCCCACCTCCCATGTGGAGCAGTTCCTGCCGGCCATTTCGGCTTACCGCCATCTCGGAGGCATTATTACTGCTAATGGGGATCCTCTGCCAGATCTCCATTTCCGTTTCTCTAATGCCATGAGTGTGGTACGACCTCTGCGAAAATGCCTTTTCGGCGCCAGGCGATTCGACATCGCAGTCCGACGTACCCTACTCCAGTCTTTGGCAGTTTCGAGATTCATCCATACAGCCTCTGCGTTGATCCTTAGCACGGCGGGGCAAATGCGAGTTTGGGAGAAGTACTACATGCGGCTTTGGCGCGCCCTCGTGGCACGAGTTGCGGCAGATAATCAAGCCCACAGCTATACCGTTCTTATCGCCGCTGCAGCTGGTTCCCCTCCCTTAGCGCTCGCTCATGCCCGAGCTGCCTGCTTGGCTAAGCTCTTCCGACTCGGTCCACCAGAACTACTTGCCCTGCTGCATGACCATTGGGCCCTCCATGCACGATCCTCCTGGTTGTCCCAGCTTCAGCATGACTGTCACGCCGTTGCTCTTTATGTTCCTGCCATCAAGGACTACATAGACATCAAAGATGCGGTTCCGGGCCTACTCTCTGCTTCCGCAGAAGATTGGAGATGGTGGCCACAGCAGGTCAAGCAGGCCCGCAAAGCGTTTCAGGCAGACCTCGCCCAATGGCAGCAAGTCAGTCGACAGTCCAAGGCTAAGGTGTCATTGCCGACGATATCCGATATGGATACGACTTTCTCTTGTCATTTGTGCAAGGCAAAGTTCCCGTTGAGAAAGCATCTTCACGCGCACCTCGCGCGGGCGCATGCTGTGTATAGCCCTGCCCGACACTTTGCCATAGGCCCACGATGCGAAGCCTGCATGCGGCACTTCGGGCGCATTAGCCAAGTGCAACAGCACCTTAAGCAATCGTCGCCCTGCCTCATGCGCTGCGTGTACCTGTTTCGGCCTCTCACCCTGGATGAGATACGCCTTGTCGAAAAAACCAGACAAAAAGCGGCGCAAGGCCATCGCTTCCGGGAAGTGGCAACAGTTTCAGTGCAGCGGACCACCTCAACGCGTGCCCATTGAATTTGGACCACGTTTGCCCACAGCAGCGGAGCGGCACTTATCGGCAGACCCCACAGAGGCTGCTCTTCTTAACACCTTGGGGAAGCATTTTGCTCCCACTGCCGAGTGCGTAGCCTGGATTTCCAAACATATTTCTGAACGCAGTAGCGAGGCGCCTAGGCAAACAGCACACACATTCTCGCAGCAAAGGTGCGTTTCACCATCCTGAATTCATTGCGTAGATTTTTGGGGCGCACTTCCCCGCGCTGCAACACGCAGCCAGAAGACCGAGAGCCCAAGTCAATCAATCAGTCAAATATACTAGTTTGGTTTAGGGTTTAGGGTTTAGGGTTTTTTTGGGGGGTCCTTATTATAATTGTAGTATAGTGGGCCCCAAAACCAAAACCCGAAGCCCTAATTTGCCTTTGAGAGTGTGTAGGGATTTGGAGCTTCTCGAGATGGGGAAGCCATGAATTCGAACTAAGCCGTAGGCCCCGGGTCCATTCATGCAAAAACAGCTTGATCCCTGGAGCTCTAATTCTGGCCAACCCTGATCCCGACTCCGTAGCAAGTAGAGGATTTGGGGGGATAGTTTGCCCTGCTGTAAACCGATGGGGGCGGCAACGGCAAACTTGTACGATCTGTCCATCTGTCTATCTGTCCATCTATCTGTCTATCTATCTATCTATCTATCTATCTATCTATCTATCTATCTGTGTATATATATATATATGTTCGAACTCCTATACTACAATCTATAAAGCCCTGACCAAAATCAGGATGTGGGCGCTCATCTCATGAAGCCCTGAACCCTCAACCCCTCAAACCTCAAAGCGCTCAACCCCAGACCTCTAAGCCCTAGACCCTCAAACCCTACACTCCTACACTTCCATAACTCCAGGACCCCCAGCCGGAAGAGAGAGCCAACCATGCGGCCATCGGCTGCGGAAAGGCTCTCCAGCTGCCAGGCGAGGTCCTCCCAGCTGCAGAGAGTTTGACTGCAAGTCTTTCCCTAAGGGTCCATGTACCCAAATAGTATATACTTTGGCCGTAAAGTAGTCCCTATATAGGTACTTTGGGGCCAATGTATATACTATTTTGGTACATGGACCCTCAGGGTTTATGAATAGCTACCTTTATAGGACCGAAGAGGAGGTTTGGGAGGGCCCTATAAGAGGTCCTGTGTGGGTTTAGGATATATAGGGTTTATATAGGATTCTAGACCTCCGATAGGGTCAAGCTGAAGGGTTCTGTACGGTTTCGGGTTTTTTGATTCTGTAAGAGTCCTTAAGGGTTCTATTAGGGTTTAGAGATGTTTAGAGTGTAGGGTTTAGGGTTCTATAAGAGTTCTCTACCGGGTCCTCTACGGGTTTAGGCTTTAGGGTTCAGGGTTTAGTCAGCATCGCGGTGCGATGAGGCTCCTCGAATGGGGGGGGGGGTCTATAGCTTGTAAGGACTAGGGTTTAGGGCTGCCTTTTGCGATACGGGCTTGATATGTGCTCTAGGCCTTCTCCCCCTAAACAAGAAACACATCTCTTCTCAGGACCCTTACAGAGAGCAGGGTAGAGTGGGATTCCTCATCGGAATCGAACAAGAAAAGGGATCAGGCTCGAGCCTCGGGGGTTTGGGGGCTTATATAAGGGCTTTCGAGCCCGGAATCTCGAAGCGCTTGGGCTTACGGGGTGAGGCTTAAACATGAGAATAGGAATTTTTTGGGCTCCTCTTACAGCACGATAATGAGAATAGGGGAAGTTGTATTGGCAATGATTTCAGCTTCTGCATTAGGGGCCCGAGGATGCTTATTTAGGGGCCAGTGCCGACTGGAAAGCTATACCGTGTGACCATAAGCCTAAAGCGCCATGTAGCAGTCTCAACTCATCACGGCTTCGATATGTCTAAGTTATGGGTTTATGTTGAGAACCTTAAGAAACATCCAGAGTGTTCCTAAACCCTAAACCCTAAACCCTACACCCCAAACCCCTAAACCCTAAACCGGGAAATCCAAAACTCCCTATAAACCCCGTCAGAAGCTGGAAGACACCTTATGAGCCCCACTCGACGCCGAAGCCCAGGCTGGGCTATGTCCTCGCATGGAACCAGAAGCTACGAGTCGGAAATGCGACGAGCTCGGGTCTAAATCCCCCGAGTGAAACCACCCTAAACCCTAAACCCTCAGCCCTAAACCCTAAACCCTAAACCTTTTTGCCGCTCCTTTGCTTGAACAGGGGGGGTTCTCGAAGCCGGGATGGCAGGGAACCTGCCGGTCACTTCGTGACCGTTTGCTAAAATTGGTCCGCTCCCCACGGAGCAGTGGCCGTGAAAAGGCCGAAAGCGTGCGTACCCTAGAAGCCCAGTTATACATACCAGCGCATCTATCACTGACGTAAATACTCCATGCTAAACAATGACACAAGGATTCAAGGGTAACTTGACAGCATCGCTTTCAGCAAGGGCCAGGAGCTGTCGAAAGCGACATCTCATCGATCCCCGTCCCTAACTAAACCTCAAACTGCCTTGAATCCTATATACTTTTGGTCAAATACCGTTGGTGGACCTCACGTTCACCGTAGAAACGCCCTGCTCCACAGGAACGTTGTCACAAAGAGCAGCAGGGAAAGAAGCGACAGCGGAAGAGCAAACACTCCTTCCGCCAGGAGGTACTCCATGCAACCTGTCACCAAAGCTTCGAAGAAGTAGCCGCAGAGCTGAACCAGAACCATGGCCAGGAACACCAAGATCCACTCCAAAACGGGCCCAGAGGTTCTGATGGAGTAGATACGAGCCAAGGTGTGCAGGGCTGCGCTGTAGAGGAGCGGCTTTGCCAAGACAGTATCGTAGAAAGCTGAAACTGAGACGAAGACCCAGTACTGATCCGTCGAGTTCAGGTAATAAAACATGGGCACCGTCTTGCAGCCAACTTGCTCGCACTGCAGATAGATGTCTGAGAAGCGCACCCAAGATTGCAAGGCCCAGTGGCAGATGCGAGGGTCTGCCGGTTTCTTCGACGATTGGCACCGCAGCTCGTTCCTGACGAAGGTGTTGAAAAGATCTAAGCACATCTCCTCGCTGGGGTAGCTGGTGATGCGACGCACACTCGGCCTCCTGACCAGGTATGCAAAATCTGCTTACTAAAGCCCCCCCTAGGTAAAGTGTCACCACAGCCCCAGAATCTTAGGAACATAGCTCTTTAAAGGCGGTCTCTGAGGTGCCTAATCAGCTCCACCATCTCGGGGTCAAAAGGAGCCTCTGGGGGAGAGCTCCGGAAGTTCTCGGGCACCTCCACTTCGATGCTCAGCGGCGCGTCTTCGATCTCGTCGAAAACCGTGCAATCTGCGCATGCAGCGCCCTCCGGTCGCTGCTCATGGAGCACTGCGCATTCCGGACGTCGAAGTTGGCAAAGGCATCCAAGATGTCAGCGCTGCAGTTGAGCTTGTAAGAGAAGAAGACTGCGGATATCCACAGGGCTGGAAGCTGAAGAACAACGAACGGAGCGTTAGAGACGAGACCCGCGACCAAGTAGTCCAAAAATGATCCTGGATGCCACTCGATATTCTCCTCTGCGGTCAGACGCTGACCGTACCAGGGCAGCAACACCCGAGCGGCCAACCATTCGGCGAACAAGCTGCACAGCAGCCACGGCGTAATCCAGGGTTGCAGTATGCCTCAGCTGTTGCAGGAGCATGCCGGCAGTCCGGTGAACCGATAATGTCCCCAATATATTCGCACTACTTAACTTTAGGAGTACTTACACGCCAAGGTCTGATATTATAGTCTTCTTGTATGGATGTAGGTCGTCTTTACCCATTATAACCCAACCCTAAACCCTAAACCCCTAAACCCTAAACCCTAAACCCCAAACTCCTAAACCCTAAACCCTGAACCCTAAACCCCAAACTCCTAAACCCTAAACCCTAAACCCCCAGCTCTACAGCCTTCAGAAGCAGCAGACTCTGTGAAGAACATGGACCAGGCCAGGCCACGGATGGCATCTGGATCTTCCCTATGGCTCTTGGCAAAGGTCGCAATCCTAGGTAGCCCCTTATAGTTCTATAAGAAAACACCTTAGTACTACAAGGGTACCTTATAACTACTGTAAGACTACTATTTTTTGTTCTTACTGTTCGGCTAAAGCCTAAAACGGGCAAAGGATGCCAGAGGGTACTGTTGGGAGACCCAGAATCTCCAAGTTGCACCACAAGCGCGAGAAGAGTGTGGGATCCCAGAGGACTAGGATGCGGGAGGATTGGTGCAAAATTTCTGGCAGGATCGCTATCGCCTCCTCCTTCTCATCTTGATCCTCCTGATTGATGCAGGCCTTATCAAACCAAACGGATGGAGTCCAGAACTCGAAGGTCAAGCCATGTGCGAAGAAGAAGAACATGAAGAACACGATCAGGGGCAAGTCGACGGTCAAGAAGAAGACCCAAGGAGACAGCGTGATTGAGCCGAGGGTGTCTCGCATATCTTCGGAAGTGCTACCAGCAGAGGCAAGCAGAAGCAGGGACACGACCAGCCAAGTCAGCCAGCAGGCCTTTGCAACAAGATGCCCTTCCAGTACACGGCGGTAACCCCTCATGCAGACTTGTATCGAGAAGGATAGCCCCGAAACACTATAATATAGGGGCCTTAATGATTAGAGTTTGGGGCCCATTGTACTGTCATTCGAATAAGGAGCCCCCAAAGCCAGAACCCTATTCTCTAATTACAAGAAGACCCCTTTAAACACTCCTCAGACTCTCTCCATCAAGGCCCCTAAAACCAAGCCTTTACGGCCATCGAGACATTCAGCTCGTAGCATAAGGCCAGGATCTTGGGAAGAGGCCTCGCGCGCCAGGAGTGGCTGATAAAGGCGCCGACCCGGTCAGCGCTCTCTGTGCTCTGCAGGAAGGCCTCCGGTGCTTCACGGGTTTAGGGTTTAGGGTTTCGGGTTTAGGGTTTCGGATTTAGGGTTTAGGGTTTAGTCTCGGAAAAGATGACTTCACAGCTTGTGGGGTTTCGGCGTCAACAAGAACCTTAGGGAAAACAAAGGTATCAACAGACTCATGGTGGGGAGAACAATGGCAGCATGACATCTTGAACAGAACGCGACCTACACTGCCACATGTGTTTCGAATGCGAAATTCGTGATGTTCACTGTTTCGCCTGAATCTGACTCGTCGCGCTAAGCCCAAACCCAAATTCGCTGTCGGTGGGCTGCAGTCCCAGACTCCACTCAAGGAAAGATCCTTCAACAGCTGCGACCATCCTAAATGGCAGCGTCACCAAAGTATGAGTGCTGAATGCAAGCAAATTGTCTTTATCAAAAGGGTGCTAGACCATGCAGGGTCCCTATCAGAAACAGGGGTGGGCCTCCTTTAATTCGCTGATACTTCGTTACAAGACCCACAAAACCCGCTCCAACCTAAAGGAACCCTGAAAATCCCAGCTCCGCGGGACAAGGAGGTCGTGCGCAGCAGCCCCGGGCGGACAAAGCGCACCATCGCTAGGAGAACCGGGCGCTCTGGGATGTTGGAGCTATAGGGGTCGCAAGAAAGGCCTGCTTCAAGCTTCGCACATGTCACGGTTCAGGGTTCAGGGTTTAGGGTTTAGGGTGCAGATTCTACAATTTGCAAGCTGCGTCCCTGACGCACTGATGAGCAAAGCGCGGCCAGGGCGTTCACCTGAAACAGTGCCTACGGCAGTCGTGGTGGTTGTTCCAGGTTCAACCATGGTATTAGTTGCCAACTGTAGCTAACATTGTGGGTGCCGCTTGAAGCGGCCACTAATCAGCCAAATGGTGTCCGCCTCTTTAACAACCAATACACCTTACCCGAATCGGCGCTGAACCTAAATTCAGATTGCAGATCCCAAACCCTCAACCCTAAACCGCAAACCTCAAACATTAGACCCTAAATCAAACCGTAAACTCTAAACCTTGACCCTAAACTCCTGAACCCTGTATATCTTTGAGGCCGGCATCGGCTTTTTCGTTTTGGAGCCCCTGAACTTGGGTTGAGGGCATAGGGATCTCACAGAGCTGAAGAAGGGCTTAGGGTTTGACGGCTTGGAGTTTATGAATAGGGCTTTTAGGGTTTATATAGGGCTTAGGATTTAGGGCCTGGTGCTTACCCTAAACCCGAAACCCCTAAACTGTTTGGAGCTTACCTGGACCCCAAAAGTATGTAAAAAAATAGCCCTTTATAGGTTTTGGGCCCTACTTTTGGGGGTTTAGGTAGGGCTCATGTAGGCTCCCAGGAGTCCAAAGGCTCTAGTCGTCTTCCCAACCGAGGGGACCGGCAGTCGGGAAAATATCCCTAAACCCCAAGCCCAATACCCCGAACTCCACGAATGTATAAGACTACCACTCTAAGTTTAGATACTATAAAGCCTCTAAATTGCACTCAGCGCTCAAGTACTTAGACTCAGCAAAAAGGTCGGAATTATAGAACATTTGTAGTAACCCTTAACGCAGTTAACCCTCTTCCAGAATCCCTTAAGGTAACCCGACCCGTAGCCCTTAAAGCAACCGTATAACCTTTTCGTCCCCGACCTCCCGGAAGGCAAAGGCCCTGAGGGGAGCAGAGAGCCGTCGCGCCAGGCGCTGGCAGTGGGCCTTCGATTTAGGGTTTGGGGTTCCAGGGTTTAGCAGTAGCAGTAGTAGTAGTAGTAGTAGTAGTAGTAGTAGTAGTAGTAGTAGTAGTAGGAGTCGGAGTAGGCGTAGGAGTAGGAGTAG